CTTCACAATTGGCTGAAATAGAGCTCAAATATCTCACCTGTACGTCCAACAATTCCAACTTTCTCGGTTCCGTTTATCGTGAACGAAACATTGCGCAGCACCAGATCAAGTCCTTCTCGATAACGTACATCAAAGTTTTTGAATTGTACTTTACCATATTCTGGCCAGTTTTTCGGTACGACAGCGTTTGGATTTTCCCATGCTGCCTCTTGTTTAGTTTCAGCATATTCTTTAATACGTTCAACGGCGACCATATTTGTTTCAACTTCACTTGTCATACGCACCAGCCAGTTCAATGTTTCCGTGATTTGCAATGCATATGAAACCGAAAGTCCAACCATACCCGAATCGATTGAGTGGCGACTCAAGACAGCAAACAGAGCGGCAAACAAAATGATTAAATTGCCAATAATTTCTAAACGAACAGCCAACCAACGACCTGCGAACAACCATGGTGTGTAGCATTTTTGATTGAAATCGACTCGATTATCGGAGTCCGTGATGAATCTGAGTTAAGGTGAAAGTGGTTTATTTTTGCGTATGAAAAGTTCATTAAAATTATCAGATTTAATTACCTTTGTTGAACGTTGTACGCACGAATGGTCGGTGCTCCTTGAATGCTTTCCCCAAAGTGAGAGTAGATTGGCGATCTTGATATCGATTCCAAGCGATGCAATTGACGTGATGTGGGTATATAAAATCGTTGTACAAAGTAGTAAACGATTCCGATTGGCACAATAACAGCCAAGAACAGGTATGTTGACACACTGATTACGACCAAAATAGACAATGTCTTAATTGGCCCACGATAAAATCAAGAAAACGATTAGTGTTCGCACAAGAATTAAAAGAAAAATCGAGGGATTTTTGATTGAAGAAAAGAAATGATAAAAGTACTCGGAAAATTATACCTATCGTATTGTTTTCTGTTACAGAAAAGTAAATTAAGAATTGACAGAAAATAAAGTAAAATGTTCCAGAGTTTTGACTTTCCGTTCAGTTTCGAAAATATTCCAATTCACTTTCCGTTTGTACAAGAAAAAAAATTGATTTATAATTATAATAAAGATTTTTTCTACCCCAAAAAATGTACTAATCCATGTAAGAATGCACATAGGCAATGTATTGTCGACTAAGTCTACATCTTTTGAGAATCGGTTCAGCACTCGACCGACTGGAGTCGTATCAAATAATTCCATCGGCCAGCGAAGCACATTTCTTAGTAATCTATCCTGCATCACTTTTGCCGAATGAACAAAACCTAGCGATAGCATCAACGTCGTTACAAAACTGAGAAGAACTATAAATATAAGAAATTGGATGGTATATATGTTAGAAAAAGAAATTGGATCAGTAATTGAAGACAATTCCGATAAAAATTCAATACACTCCAAGTATAGAACAAAAAATAAACAAAATTTTGCACGGCAGGTTGGCATCTTACCTTGTCCCAAACCAAAGCCAGCATAGCCACCCAAATAAAGATTTCGTTTGTCGGTATCATTGGCGGCTGCTTCATCATTTGACCACGCTACAAGCCAGATATTTGATCCAACTATGAATCCCTGTAAAACGATGTTCAAGATGACGGTCAAGATCGTCAACGAGACACCAATGTTCTTGAGATAATGCTTGTATACATCCCATTTAACACTTCCAACTTCGGCCTTCTCTTGTTCGATGAGCTTTTGTCCATCAGCCTCCAGCTTTTCAGCCTTTAAGCTACTTTTCGAACCATGTTTGACTGATCGTCTGCGAATGCCATCCTCATTTTCAATTCTACTTTCGGCCGATACATATCCATTCAATGACGCCGTTTCCGAATGACTTTCACTTCGCGATCGACTTATTGCTCGTTCAAGTTTTCCACGTAGCTCTGCGTCTTGGTTCGTTACCAATGTTGATTCGATTTGCTCTTTAATCAAATCCAAATCTTCTTCGTCTTCGTTCACTTCTTGCAAATGTTGGATCAAAAACTCGGCAAAGTCACCCTTTTTGGTCATCAACTCTTGCAATGTACCCGATTCACTAATTTCACCTTCCTTGACCACATAAATATTATCCACATTTGGCAAATAGGTGATGCCATGCGTCACGAG